TGAGGGCTGTGACTGCAGAAGACTGCTGGCCTCAGACAAAATTATACAAGGCAATGAAAAAACAAATTGTGTCTTAAAGAAAGTATGGTCAAATGCATTGAAATAACAAATGATTTAATTTTCCAAACTCCAACAGGAATCACAAACTCCTACCATCTGCAGTGCAGATAAAGAATCCAAGTCCCTCCTGTGGCCCCATCTTCAGAGGTGCCCCCTTCCAGCTAAACTTGTCCAGCGCACGCTCATCTCCTCTCACAGATGCTCGAGCTAGCATTGCCACATCACTATAATAAAATACAAAAAATAGTATTTGATTAAAAAAATGTCATACTCTTCCACTTGATATGGGACTTCGAAGGCTGCTTACTCTCCAGGTGTGGACGGTCTGAAGATGCAGCAAGTTAAAGGTTTCTTGTATTCATGTTTTACAAGGTGGTTTCCATGAAGTCTCCCTCTCGCATCCACCTTCCATACTGCCAAAGCTCCAGACTGTCAATAACAATAATAACAGTAATAGTTAACAGTTAATTTGCCTAGCACTTTCAAAACAGTTACAAAGTGTGTTAAAGAACACAATAAAATCTTAGTTAAAAACACAAAAGAAAAGTTCAAAGAGTTAAAACACGAAACGGTTTGTTTTCTTTTTGCATTGAGCCAGGCTGCACGGACAGCTAAGAGTGTCTGATGTGCAGAATGCAGGCAGTGACTTGGTTCATAAAAAGTGACCAAATCTGTAACATGTAAGGCTTGTACCCATGTATCGTATACCCAAAAGGTTGTGAGGAGGAGAATGATGATTTATTTCTTTGAATTTGTTATAAGTCTGGCAGCTGAGATTTAAATGAGCTGGAGGTGAAAGATGGACTTCTGGCTGAGATCCCAGTAGAAGGAATTACAATTATTCAAACACAATGAGATAAAAGGATTTAATGGGTGTGATAAATGTGGTTGCACTCACCTGTTCACGGCACCTGATGTTAATGAGCAGAAAGGTAGGGTGAGCATGAGGCGAAACCTTCTGTTGACTGCAGCTTGAGCGCAGCTTGAATCATTTTGATGCATCTTTTGGTTTATGTATACTTCTGCACTAAGTTATGCAATAGGCCAATGTTGAAATTTGGCATAGTAAATGGTGCAGTTATTTGTGCAGTCTGTGCATTTGTTTAATGGTTTGAGGCCGTGTGCCGATTTGTACAGTGGACAGTTGTATGTGGAATAAAAGTAGCAAATAGTACAGAGGTGTATCTCATGTGTTTACTGTTGCACGTCATCTGTGTCCTCATGTTTAGCCTGCCGCGGCCGTTGGTTGGAGGAGCCGCAATAGTTTGGAAAGGAAGGAAGCAGTAAGGTCAGTTTCCATTCTGGGTTTTCAGCATTAATAAAGAAACCTGCAACAAGGTGAGTAATGTTTGAGGTCCAAAAGAAATCAACACAGAGAAATTTTTACAGTGCTTTTCTACTCTACCTGAACATTCAAAGCGCTCTATACAGGTTGCCTCATTCACACCTGTTCATAGAAGCCCTTTTTCTGTGCTTTCTACCTAACATTCACACACATTCATACTCTGATGAATGCATCAGAGAGTGACTTGGGGTTAATGTCTTGCCCAAGGACAGTTAGCATGCAGTCTGGAGCAGCCAGGGATCGACCCAAAAACCATCTGATTAGTAGATGACCTGCTCCACCTCCTGAGCCACAGCCACCCCTTTCAGAGGTAAAGAATGATTTAGAAAGTAAGTACAGTAATTTTTTGAGGTGATTTGATTAAAAAAAATCATTTTTGCTTCTAATTACATAATTAAGGTGTAATTACATCTTCCAACAAATTGATACATAAACGTATCATTTATCTACTAAAAATACATAGGAGCTGGCGTCATGTTGTGGAAGCTGCCATCTTGCCCCACCATCATACACTGGCTGAGATGGGCATCGCTGCGCCGCCTTTTCATGTTTTATGTAAGTGGATTTATACATTACTTTGAATTTAAAGATGTCAAATAGCTCTTTCACACTACATATGACTATTTCACATTTGTACATGTATATTTTGGTGATCTCTTTCTCAGTATGTTTTTCTTCTTATGGAAATAAGCTAATTTTAAACCAGTTAATGTTAGGCTCCAGTGTCCTAAGAAATCACACCTTTCCCCTGATAAACAAATTGATTGGATTCTCTCATTGTGTGGGAATTGATTATCAATTACAACTTCAATGAGCCACTTCAAAGAAAGTTTCACCCGCGTGGGCAGCAACAGAAAGTCCAGATGTGGAAACAGAAGGTTTCCACATTAAAATATCGATATTTGAATCATTTTGGGGTAAATTGTAGTTTTTCATTAACAGGAACACAGTGGAAAGAAACTATCATTCAGATTGTCTACATTGGAAAGAACTACTCCCTCTTCCGCCTTTTATAGTCATGTGTGAAATACGGCTGTATAAATGTGTGGCAGCCTGTGGCGTGCGCACTCACAACAATGGCTGAGCGTAACTGGAGTCATGTGCGCACGTATTTTACATCCACAAACAGCCCAGACGTGGTTTGCGATACATGTGGCAAGAAAGTGAGGTGTTGTGGCAACACCACTAACCTTGTCAAACACCTCAAAGTAAATCATATCACAGAATATGACGAGCTTATGTTGAGGCAAACTGAAGAGGAGGAGAAGGACGGGTGCTGCTAGGGTGAGACAGACGTCTCTCAGGGAGTCCTTTAGTGCTGCAGGCAGGCAAGGTGTTCACATAGTGCACAACTTCAGGTTTTTGATTTCTATATGATGAATTCTGCATTATTAAGTGATAAGAACAAGTAATCTGATGTCCTGTAATGATTATGACGCTATAATTTGAGATACAATAAAAGAGTAAAGTTTTTGTACAAAGTATCGGAGCAGTATCGTCGATACCACCCTGAATTTTACTTGGTATGGGATCGGAAAGGAAATCAGTGGTATCACACATCACTAGTGATCAAATGTCAGGCCAAGCTGGAACTGATTCCTGTCTTCTGTAACTTCTACAACACTGTCCAATAGAGACACATGAATGAACTGCAGCGTCATTAAAAACACTGATGATCTTTATTTAAAAATGTAATACATTTACATCTGAATAAACTTTTAGGCATTACGCTGACGGAGGGATGGATGGACCATGAATGCTTTCTCATCCTTCTTGTCATGCACCATGGAAGTGTCTGAGGGGCTTTTCCACTTGGAATGGGGATACTGTGTCCACACTTCAGAGGTGGAGTTTCCAGCATCTCACCTGGGCCTCATCTGCAAACAATCAGCAGGAGGGCTTCTTAAACCAGCGCTGCCTGCTACTCCTCGCCAGTTTGTTCTGCCATCTCCAGTGGTAACTAGGCTTCCCCTCTGCTCCAGTTCTGGCGTGCTCCTTCCCTGTGTTTAACCTTGTTTTCCCTGTGTTTAGGTCTCCTCTGCCAACGTACTCATCCTACCCTCAAACTCCCTTACCCGTCCAGCAACTTCTTCTCCCTCTGTTGCAGAATTCCCGTTGGATTGTTCCCATCAGGAGCCAGGTGTTCAGTCTCTCGATAGCTTTTCCTCTGGTTCCTGCTGTCTGCTGACACTCCTAGCTCGAGCCACGTTCTCCATTCCCTCTCTAAAGTCTCATAAATAGTTTAACCATGTGCATTGAATCTGCATTTGGGTCTAAGCTTTCTATGCAGGGAAGAAATCATCACAGTGACATCTATTTAATTTTCAATTCAATTTTATTTAAAGAGCGCCAAATGACAGCAACAGTCACCTGAAGGCGCTTTATATTGTAAGATATACTTACAAAGAAAACCCCAACAATCATATGACCCCTATGAGCAAGCACTTTGGCGACAGTGGGAAGGAAAAACTCCCTTTTAACAGGAAGAAACCTCCAGCAGAACCAGGCTCAGGGAGGGGCGGCCATCTGCTGCGACCGGTTGGGGAGGGGCAAGGAAAATAGTATAAAGACATGGAACAGAGACAGAGGTTAATAACAAGTACCATTCAGTGCAGAGAGGTCTATTAAACATAGTGGGTGAAGAAGAAACACCCAGTGCATCATGGGAATCCCCCGGCAGCCTAATGCTGGGCATACACTGTGCGATTTTTGGCCCATTTTGAGCCGATTTTTCAGTCGTGCGATCGTTTTGGGGATCGTCCCGAGTTTGGCCTTGATCAAACTTCTCACCCCTGCGAGTCAATCCTACAGTTTGATCAGGAGCCGAATAACGCGACTGAAAAATCGCAGCACAGTGTATGCCCAGCTTATTGCAGCATAGAGGATTCAGGATCACCTGAGTAGGCCATCAGATTACTGAAAGGATACTGAAAAACCCGTCGAAGTAGTCTTAGTCTTCATTGCTGCTGGTCGACTCAATTGAACACCTCTGAAGTTTGCACACAGGCAAGTATTCCTCTTCTTCCTCAAAATCCTCTCGGGAACGCTTCCTCGAGCCTCCAGTTTCATGTTCAAGCTCTTCGTGCGCATCTTCAAATACTTCAGAGTCATCATCGCTCCATCTCATTCTTTTGTTTGCTCCTAAATCTTCTTCATCCCTCTCTCTAGACCTCTTCCTGGAAACACCTGGCTGAGGGTCCTCTTCTGGGATGTACTGGCGAACATCCATGCGGCCTTCAAATGCCTCCTCATTTTCAATGCCACCAACATTGAAAATGATCAAACCACAGCATCCCCGTGCTGTTCATCGTTGTCACCATTGGCATTATTGTCCCTCACATGAATATTTTGAACATCGTCGTCATCGTCATCGTCATCGTTGCCGTCGCCGTCGCCGCCGTCATTGTCGTCATCGTTGTCGTCATCGTCGTCGCGTTGTCGTCGTCGTCGTCGTCATCGTCGTTGTCGTCGTCGTCGTCGTCGTCGTCGTCATCGTCGTCGTCATCGTCATCGTCATCGTCTTCGTCCCCGTAAAGGTAATTGTCATATTGTGCCAGTACTGAAGCTATTAGCTCATCTAGATAGCAACAATATCATGGAGAGCGCGATACAGTCTGTTCAGGAAGCCATTAGCAGGTTCCTGATCTCCATTTGCCAACATTCGTGGGTTAACCTGTTGGCCTGCAAGATCATTAAATCTTTTAATTAACATCCATAACTATCTGCTGAAAATCTGTTTTTCATCAATTTCAAGACTGAGTACATGTGCTTACCGTTTTGGTTATTTTGTGGTCCGTCTCCACTTGCACTCATTTTGACTACAAGGAACACAAAACAACAATGATCACTAAACCTCAACCCAGAATGTTCAGAGAATTTGCTTTTTTGTGATGACTTTAGGCTGCGTCCAAACGTACACGGCTATGTTTGAAAACGGACATTTTCCTTTTTCGTTTAAAAAAAAATAATCCAGTCCACATGTGCAGTTTTGAAAAAATATCTCCTTCCACATCTAAACACTAAAAACAAAGTGAAACGCTGTCAAGAACACGCCAAATCTTAACCGTGTAGAAATGTTGGCCAATCAGAAGTCTAGAAGCCTGGGTGGGAAAACCTCATAAAACCTTACGTACTTCTGAGAAGTTTTTGTCTTTTTCTGGAAAAGCAGCTAATTTTGTGTTACTTTCACGTGCCTTCATCGTTTCAAATGTTAATAACTAAAGACAGACTCACAACTTTGGAATGGACTAAATGCATACAGCATACATAAATGTCATTTTTTAAATTACATTTCTTCCAAACCGACGTCAGGATTTGGGTTGGGAGAGCGTCTGTGTTGAATGTAGAATCCACGTCTGATGTAAGCGTGTAAAAACTGCAGATACTAAGATTAACAGACACAGTATGTTGTCTACATCTGCCATTGTAGAAATTGATCTCACGTAAACAATAACGTGGCCACAGCGTGACTTCAACAGCGGCGCACACTTTTGACATTGCCTGAGTAAATGTCCGTTTTCCTCGTCCACACCTGAACACAAAAACGTCCTTTTTAAAAATCTCACCTTTCAGTGACTCAATCTGCTGTTTAGGTGTGGACGAAAGGCCCAAATGCAGAGACAAAGCTGCGCTTTCAAAAATAGCCGTGTACATGTGCACGTAGGCTCAGTTTCTCAGAAATTCTAATAGTTTGTTTGAGAACAAAACTTACGTCTTCTCTATTTTCCTAAATGAACAAAATAATCTGAGAAATAATCGTGTTAAAAAGAGCTTCTGTCACTCTAAGATATGATTAAGAACATTTTCTAATTTATGTATCATTTGTCAAATATTACATCAGCTGACAAATAGTTAAGTCTTCATTTGTTTTCCTGAATAATAGATCCACATCATCCTCTCTATGATGGAAAATATAGTCTAGTCTTGCACAATGTAAAGTACATAAATACTGTCCTGGCAAGCAGGGAAATCAGGCTTTATATATTTAAGTAAATGATCTTGAGTTTATAAACTGAAATTTGAGCTTACTTTAGTTCTTGGTAGATTACACAGCAGTTAATCCTCAGGGAAACGTCCAAATGTCACTAAATAGTGGTCTGCTTTCATTCGGTTGCAGTGTCTCTTCAGTTTTGTGTTCATATGCTGATGTTTTCATTCAAACATGCTTAAATGCTGTGATGTCACTTTAGCAGCAAAGACTGCGGAATGTGCAGAGATTCTTTTGACATCAAGTTGTTTGCTCAGATTTTGATATCTTTTAAATGGAGACAAAACAAAACGCTATGGCAACAAACAACAAGCTGTTTCCAGTGCTTAATATTTAACATGTCTTTGTTATAAATTTTATTTGTACAAATCTGTGATGTTGATGTGCACAACGTGGGATTTAGACCTCGGAGGGTTAATCAACAATCACGAAAAATTAGGTTTAAATTTCTGTTCATGACGGTGCAGATTTCTGACATTTTGTGTACTTGAAGCATTTAACAATTTGATTGTTTTCTAATAAAAACTGTGTGAAACTCAAGTTAGAACTGTGTTTGTAAATGAACCGTCCCATGTTGTGTAGCTTTCTGGATTTTATACTTATTGGGCTACATATTAATTTACTATACAGGCTATACAGTAGATAAAATCTAAACTCACATGTTTTATGTAACTAAAGTGTTTAATCATGTGGGCTACAGACAGTAATCAAGTTATGGACTATATTGATATGAAAAACATGCATACTTAGTGCATTTGAATCATTTTAACCATATGTAACCACCTGCATGTCATGGTCCTGGGACTTCTACCTGGTTTTTTGTGTGTCTTGTATTGTTGTTGTTTGATGTCAGCTTTAGGGTCCCTCGGTTGTTCTGTTAAGATGTTGCTTATTTGATTTCCCCTCGTGACTTTACCCCCTGTGTGCCCCCTCTGTGTATCTGCCAGCCCCCATGCCTCGTTTCTCCTCCTTGTGTTTTATTCCATGTTTTCCCAGCCCGCTATGTCTGTGTTCTCTTCCAATCTGGTCTGCGTCTCTGTGTGCTTCCTGTTTTACTTTGATAGTCTCCCGTCAGTGTTGTGTTACTCCTGCCGTGTCTCGTTATGATTATCAGTGTCGCCTGTGTTCCCCGTGTGCTCCCACTTCCCTCGTTAACCCTCTGTGTATTTGTGTCCACGTCTCCTACATTACCTACATAATAGAGCTATAATAAATGTTTGTTTGGGGTTTTTTTAAGTACAGAAATCAGCTGCTAAATAATTGTTTTGACTTTTTGGGAATGCTTTACGGTCTGTTCTGTAGGAACGCTGAATTAATATATTGACTGTCTGGCCCCTTCTGGCTATTTAATAGTTGCTGAAGGAGATTTTGTTCATCCCCAGCTAATCTCATCCATATTTATATAAAATCTAGCATACTCCACACCACACAAAGTCAGAAGCCAGTTAAAATCTGTATGTGGTACCTGAGGCGGTGCTGCACTGACCAGTTGTTTCTGGCTATTTGCTGGTTCAGCCTGCCTATCACTGCAACTCTTGGCTCTTATTGGTCAGGCTGGTGTGTGTGTGTGTGTGTGGTGTGGTGTGTGTGGTGTGTGTGTGTGGTGTGTGTGGTGTGTGTGCATTGTAAAGACTTGATTCCCACAGTCCAAGTCAGGGTTTAAAATGCGTTGCTGTCTCCATCCAGCATCAAAGCTGCATTGAAATTTCCTTCAATGAAATTTTGGCTCAAGAAAAACAGTGTTGTTACTGTCAATCTCCAGTTAAAATAAAAGTGTAATTAAACCAAACGAAAGTAATGTACTAATGCTGGTCAAGACATTACCTGTAGCTGAGTGACATTTCCTCCAATTTCTGTTGGTGTCTGCAGTTTCCACTGGGGCTTAGTGTCACCTCTACTGCTACCCGACTGCACCACCATCCTCCACATTGCTATGCGTCCATTGGTGGTGCCAGCTGCTAGGATTTCTGAGTGTTGCAGAATTTTTAAAAAAGCAACGAGTTTTTTTTTTTTAACCTATGCATTTGAAACATTCAGGAATATGGTGATGGGAAAGAAAAGCTTCTTTCATTTACAATTCTGTGCAAACTTTTGCCTTTGCCTGCACAGTATGAAACACAGTTGATCATCTCTCCCCTCTCATATCCCAGAGTCTCATCAAGAGACAAAACATAGTTATGTAGCACGTAGCATGTAGAGAAGTTTCTTGATGGAGCCCTCCACACTGAGAAGGACACTCGTCTTACAATACTCATCCACACTATGGACTTTACCTATATGCATAAGACATGGGATTAAAGATGAAATAAGTGGAATATCTGACAGCTCAAACCACAAAGTGTTCATATTTATTAAAGATCAGACTGGATTCTGGATCAATAGCATTATAGCTTGTTGTATTTTCCCCTTTCTGGAGACTCCCACAGATTATGCTTCACAGAGGCAAAATACACTTTTGATATAATTTTCAACAAGTCTGCTGGATTAATCAGACTTTCTAAAACCATGAATACTTTTCTCATACTGTTCTTCGTAACTGTTCAAAAATAAAGCAAAGTATCATCAATGCAATTTACAGAACAAACAAATAAAATAAACAGCCTTTATACATTGAGGGCTGTGACTGCAGAAGACTGCTGGCCTCAGACAAAATTATACAAGGCAATGAAAAAACAAATTGTGTCTTAAAGAAAGTATGGTCAAATGCATTGAAAATAACAAATGATTTAATTTTCCAAACTCCAACAGGAATCACAAACTCCTACCATCTGCAGTGCAGATAAAGAATCCAAGTCCCTCCTGTGGCCCCATCTTCAGAGGTGCCCCCTTCCAGCTAAACTTGTCCAGCGCACGCTCATCTCCTCTCACAGATGCTCGAGCTAGCATTGCCACATCACTATAATAAAATACAAAAAATAGTATTTGATTAAAAAATGTCATACTCTTCCACTTGATATGGGACTTCGAAGGCTGCTTACTCTCCAGGTGTGGACGGTCTGAAGATGCAGCAAGTTAAAGGTTTCTTGTATTCATGTTTTACAAGGTGGTTTCCATGAAGTCTCCCTCTCGCATCCACCTTCCATACTGCCAAAGCTCCAGACTGTCAATAACAATAATAACAGTAATAGTTAACAGTTAATTTGCCTAGCACTTTCAAAACAGTTACAAAGTGTGTTAAAGAACACAATAAAATCTTAGTTAAAAACACAAAAGAAAAGTTCAAAGAGTTAAAACACGAAACGGTTTGTTTTCTTTTTGCATTGAGCCAGGCTGCACGGACAGCTAAGAGTGTCTGATGTGCAGAATGCAGGCAGTGACTTGGTTCATAAAAGTGACCAAATCTGAAACAAGGCTTGTACCCATGTATCGTATACCCAAAAGGTTGTGAGGAGGAGAATGATGATTTATTTCTTTGAATTTGTTATAAGTCTGGCAGCTGAGATTTAAATGAGCTGGAGGTGAAAGATGGACTTCTGGCTGAGATCCCAGTAGAAGGAATTACAATTATTCAAACACAATGAGATAAAAGGATTTAATGGGTGTGATAAATGTGGTTGCACTCACCTGTTCACGGCACCTGATGTTAATGAGCAGAAAGGTAGGGTGAGCATGAGGCGAAACCTTCTGTTGACTGCAGCTTGAGCGCAGCTTGAATCATTTTGATGCATCTTTTGGTTTATGTATACTTCTGCACTAAGTTATGCAATAGGCCAATGTTGAAATTTGGCATAGTAAATGGTGCAGTTATTTGTGCAGTCTGTGCATTTGTTTAATGGTTTGAGCCGTGTGCCGATTTGTACAGTGGACAGTTGTATGTGGAATAAAAGTAGCAAATAGTACAGAGGTGTATCTCATGTGTTTACTGTTGCACGTCATCTGTGTCCTCATGTTTAGCCTGCGCGGCCGTTGGTTGGAGGAGCCGCAATAGTTTGGAAAGGAAGGAAGCAGTAAGGTCAGTTTCCATTCTGGGTTTTCAGCATTAATAAAGAAACCTGCAACAAGGTGAGTAATGTTTGAGGTCCAAAGAAATCAACACAGAGAAATTTTACAGTGCTTTTCTACTCTACCTGAACATTCAAAGCGCTCTATACAGGTTGCCTCATTCACACCTGTTCATAGAAGCCCTTTTTCTGTGCTTTCTACCTAACATTCACACACATTCATACTCTGATGAATGCATCAGAGAGTGACTTGGGGTTAATGTCTTGCCCAAGGACAGTTAGCATGCAGTCTGGAGCAGCCAGGGATCGATCCAAAAACCATCTGATTAGTAGATGACCTGCTCCACCTCCTGAGCCACAGCCACCCTTTCAGAGGTAAAGAATGATTTAGAAAGTAAGTACAGTAATTTTTGAGGTGATTTGATTTAAAAAAAATCATTTTTGCTTCTAATTACATAATTAAGGTGTAATTACATCTTCCAACAAATTGATACATAAACGTATCATTTATCTACTAAAAATACATAGGAGCTGGCGTCATGTTGTGGAAGCTGCCATCTTGCCCCACCATCATACACTGGCTGAGATGGGCATCGCTGCGCCGCCTTTTCATGTTTTATGTAAGTGGATTTATACATTACTTTGAATTTAAAGATGTCAAATAGCTCTTTCACACTACATATGACTATTTCACATTTGTACATGTATATTTTGGTGATCTCTTTCTCAGTATGTTTTTCTTCTTATGGAAATAAGCTAATTTTAAACCAGTTAATGTTAGGCTCCAGTGTCCTAAGAAATCACACCTTTCCCCTGATAAACAAATTGATTGGATTCTCTCATTGTGTGGGAATTGATTATCAATTACAACTTCAATGAGCCACTTCAAAGAAAGTTTCACCCGCGTGGGCAGCAACAGAAAGTCCAGATGTGGAAACAGAAGGTTTCCACATTAAAATATCGATATTTGAATCATTTTGGGGTAAATTGTAGTTTTTCATTAACAGGAACACAGTGGAAAGAAACTATCATTCAGATTGTCTACATTGGAAAGAACTACTCCCTCTTCCGCCTTTTATAGTCATGTGTGAAATACGGCTGTATAAATGTGTGGCAGCCTGTGGCGTGCGCACTCACAACAATGGCTGAGCGTAACTGGAGTCATGTGCGCACGTATTTTACATCCACAAACAGCCCAGACGTGGTTTGCGATACATGTGGCAAGAAAGTGAGGTGTTGTG